TTTACAACAGCGCGCCAACCGTTTCTTCTTTTCGCAACGTGACGCCAATTGGAAACTTCAAACGAAGCCAGGTCCTTCTTCACCTGCTCTTTCTAACGGAGTGGAGGTAAATGAATGTAACAAGATATTTTTTCAAACAGTTGAAAGCGAGATTTTAATTTTCCTATAGAAAATAAATAAGAGAAAAATAAAAATGTAGCACCTTCCCGTTACAAGTAATAGCACATACTTCCTGAGATAGGTGGAGATGAGGTGCCTAAACACTTATTGTTCAGAGTAGTAGGCGAAAAAATATTCATTTTTTGAACTCATATAATAATATATAGTATAATATGATAAATAAATAAGCAGTTCTATAAAGACAACTAAAGGAGAGATGTTGTTTTTATTGTAGCGAAAAAAAAAACATTCTCGAAAAACTGCCGGTTTGATAGTCCCTGGGCGGATAAAAATCCGGGTCCGTTCCGGTTAAGTAAACCTTTCTGTTGAAAATTCGTAACGCCGCATCCTCAGTGGCTTGTAGCATTTGTTTATTTAAAGAGGACTTTGCTTCTCAATTGCCTACTCAGTTCGAAATAGGATCTTTTGTCAAGAGTTATTCTGCGTTGGATTTCGATTCACACGTTGTAGTTGGTGTTAATGCTGGTTTCAAGCTAGACGAAGTTATCTACGACTTCAAAGTTATGACAGTCAACAGTGACGTGGGAGGCAAGTCGACTGAATGACTGAATGAGATGACTGTTTGTTGGGACAATCCTATTTATTTAATGACGCCTAAACATCTGTACATGTCACAGAGAACGACTCCAAGGGTTTGTAGCACTTGTAAAGCAAGCGGAAGCAAACACAAAGCAAGTGCTAAGCTTGCAGTGGAGATTCATCGTAAATGTCAGCCAAAGTACTTTCCAAGTAATTGCCTTTATTATGCAAATCGTATTAAAGTGCATTCGCATGCAGACATCATTCACACTCACACTCACACACACACATGCACATACTTAATAATGACATTTACATACAGCTGCATTTGCATGAGTGTATGTGTGTATGTGAGTATGAGTGTGAGCGTTCAATTCAAGATCAATGTTACTCATAGCCAATGCGATGAAAGCTCAAGTGGCTTGTAACAACTGACAGCGAAACGAAGCTGGCTTGGCGAGCATGCGTGCCTTCGACGATAATAAAAAAAACAAAAAGCAAAACAACATAACAATTGCCTGACTGCCAAGAAGCGAATGCGTTTGTCATATAAATCAGTTGTGTGTGATTCATGCCACTCAGATTGGCAGCCAGAGACAAAGAGCCACCAGGCAAGGCCGTAAATGACAAGTGAGCTGAGGAGATTCCCCTCATGTGATAAATGTATATATATATACATATTTTTTAGAAAATATACATACATATATACATACTTATGTGTATATATATGTAAATACATTCTTATGTAAACACACATATACATACATAAGCCTGAAGGCGATGCATTTTGTTGACGCACCCGCGCAAAGGAGAAATTGCTGGAAATGTAATGCTATAAATTATGGGAAAAACACACTCACTAAATTTGTTGTATACGTATATTTGTGTATATGAATATATCTAACAGTTTCGCAACAGTGCAAAAACAGCAACCGTTGTTTGCGAAAATTTGATTGCCACTTGTTATATGACAGACGTCACCTGCTGAGGCGTTGCGGTTTCGCGCAGCGCACAAAGGAAGTCTTTTGAAGCAATACACCTAATTGTTATTGTTGCTGTTACTTTTTATTTTCTAAACTGAAATTAGGTGAGTTTCAGCTTTCTGCTAACCCGCCGCCCGCACAACCGCTTAATTGGATTATTTACATAATCTCACCTAATATGGACGCGTGTGGTGCTTGCGTTTTTTGCTGTTATTATTTGTTGTTGTGGCGCTTTGAAAATGTGCCGTAGCCGATAGTTAATTTGCTTTCGATGGCAGGCACTAACCAATTATACAAAAATGTCAGAAATTGACATTTTATGAGCGCTGAAAGTAGGTGAACTGATTAAACTTATAACGGCGCTGTTAGAATTAAACCGTTTTTTTCTGCTTCCTTTTTCGTAAGGAGGTCAAAGTTTTGGTCAACAAATGCAAAGTGAGGTTCAAAAGTTATTTATTTACGACGCAAAATTAAAAAAAATTATGAAAATTTATATTTTTTTAATTTCACTTTTTTCTGTCAGAAATTTTGTTAACGATTTATATAATGAGGGGATTAGTAAACAAATATTCGAAAGTGAAAATGCAAATTTAATTTTTTAGGTGAATGTTTATAATTTTGAAATGCAATCAAAAGCAAATGGCTACTAACTAACGATCTTTTCGGCTGTATTCTTCAGTTATCGGCAATATTTGTCAAATAAAAGTGAAATGTTATAGAATATGGACAACTGGTTACACCAAGGGTCACACTGCTTCCATCTACAATTTTTAATTATTTTTAATTATTTTTAATTTATACTTCGCATGTTTTTCGAAGCGGTAATTTTTTTTCTATAAGTTGGTAGTACTGTTAATGACATCTATGTATACTAAATTTCATGACAAAGTATTCATTAGTTCTAAAAGTGAATTATTTTCGCCGTGGCCAATGCGCAATCACAAAGTACAATAAATCTTCTACTAAACTTTTCTCTCTAATACTCCTAGGACCGATTCATTAGATGATATCATAGACCATGCCTCCGCAATACACAGCAAGACGGGAATGCTGAGGGACTTGTAGAGTTTAGTCACTTTTCGTCGAGAGAGTACTTTACTTTTTAATTGCCTACACAGTCCGAAGTGACGCCTGTTGGCAAGAGTTATTCTGATAAAGTTGTTGGTACTGATGCTGGTTGAAAAATAGACGAAATTATCAACGACTTCAAAGTTATGGCTGTCAACAGTGACGTCTGAGCCAAGGCGCGAGTGTGATGATTGTTTACTCTGACTCCACGTCAGCTTATACTTTGCGGCGCTACCAAGTTCAGACATAGCGGTATTATTTCAGTTCCCTTTCGTGCTATGGAAGGCAGTTTTAAAACGAAAAGGTGGTATGTGTCGATCTTCTTTACACGGGCTTTTCACAAAATTTTTCGCATGGTGAAAATCTGTTCTATTTTAGATTTTTCAGGTCTAAAGCCACACCACTACCATAAGACGTAAGGCCTTATACGCGATATTAGGGAGGCATAACCCACAGTAGTTAGTGCAGATTGTAGGGCCTCCATTTTTATGGAATCAGCAGAACGCACTTGAGTTAAAATCGTAGGGCATGCTTTCCGACCATACCGTGCAAAGAAACTGTTCTACAAGAGTATGCCAGAGTCTTCACACCTACCACTGCTCGCCGCGTCTTTTCGTAACATTTTCAAGCATTACCCCTGTCAGTCAGCATCTCAAGCTTTTTTTTATTTGCATATGTGTCTCGCTGCCATCTCTATCCCACCCGGCTCGTGTTGTGGTCGATCGCAACAATGCAAGGTAGACTGTCTGTACCAGCTGTTCTTTCGACCTTTACAAAAATCTATAGTTTCGCTCCATAGTTCTCTTATATTGAGTTGCTGCTGAATTCCCTCTGAGAACAGGAGCGCAAGTCGGGTAGAAAACCGTTTACGTCGGGGCATGGGCGCAAATCAGAGCTAGACGCTCATCCACCAGAGTGAACGACAATACTCGGCGACTGAGTCTTTCGCCCATCACGAATCGCATACCGAATTTGCGCACCTTTATACGGCCGCTGTAATAAATTTCATAAAGGCCTACTTGTCTCCTTTCTTCTCCCGTTCATTGCGTTTCTTGGACGACGGTGATGCCAGCCTATACCTTTACGAGGACATCGACCAACTTGTCATCGGCACCTTCCCAATTTAGTGAAAAAGAAACAGCAGCCTCGGATGAAAGTCCCCATTTGTGATGACGACCACAGCAAACATAATAATGACTATGATTTAAATGCATGCGCCTTGAATGTCCGGCGATAAAAAAAATTAAAAAATAGTTTAGAAATCATGGTCAGTTAAAAAACAAAGTTTCTTCATTATGATTTTTGATATGAAACTAAAATTTTAAAACGAAATTAGTATATAAATTTCTTCTATTTTATTTTGTACGAATTAGCTGATCATCATGAGAAATGCCGAGTCTTAAACATATTGCTAGACATTGCCCGAATTTGAAAGAGAATTAATTTCAACTTAAGATTAACTCATTAACACGCTGTGACGTCGTAATATCGACAACAAATATGGCAAACAATGAATTTTAAAAGTCAACAAAGCAATGAAAACCACTTATTGATTATTAATATATGATTCGCGGTACAAATATAATATACACACACAAATACATATGTTTATGCATACACACATATGTAAATATTTTATGATTTGTTTTTTATAGGAAACAGTTGTTGGATTGTATTTCGGCTACTAAACATTTGTTAGCCATTTAGTGTATGAAATAAATTAATGAGTAGCCGAAGAGTCTCTCATATGGAAGGCAGTAGCGAAACAAACCAAAAACGAAACATTAAAAAAATAGAGAAAAAAATAAAACAAGACAATAAAATAAAAAGAAAAACAAAAAGAAAAAGAAAGTAAACAAACAAAAAAGCAGAGCAAGCGTATCGATTAGCGTGCTAAATGCGGGAAAATACATCCACTTATGACAAACAGGTAATCAGCGGCAGACGAAAATTCAAAAGTCAAACCCGAAACTTGAATTTCTACACAGAAGCACAGAGGGTCACTGTCAATATCCAGTTTAAGCAAAGTGCCGTACTAAATTTAAAATAAATACTAAATACACGTGTGTAATCACCCACACACACACGCACGCACTTAATATCGCATTACTGGACAACATTTCAAGCGGACAATTGCTCACCACTGTTTAATGCTTCTGATTTAGGCAAAAAAAAAGTTTACACTGACAACCCGGAGATGCATTGCTCGCACGACGCGTCTCGTCTCATTTAGTTGATCTTCAGTGGCGCTTAAGTGAAGACGTGCGAAAAGATAGCTTACTTAAATTAACGCGCTTCTAGCAGACGACTATTTTCAGTGAAATTAAGAGTAAATATTAAAAACGCGCACGATGAGCTGGCGTTTAGGCTGGGTGAGTGGTGTTTTCATACAAAAAACTTAAGCGACGAACTTGATTTATAATTTTATTTCATTTTAAGCTCGTGTTCGCAGCTTTAGCTGTATGGCAAGCGCATGCAAAGCCATTGATACAAGATGCGTAAGTTGTAGTTGTTGTAATATGTCATGTTTTTAACACGTCTTTTTTGACGAACTTTGTAGCACCTTTTCAGATGTTGACCTTGTCGCCGAAGACTCGCACGCCGATACTGTCTACGTAGCAGCGCCGGCGCGCAGCAAACGCACACCACAACATTTTGGTGGTAATTGTGGCTTTAACGGTTGTGGTGGTCGAAACATTTTCGGCACAAATAACAGTCCCGCATATAACAGTTACGCTTATGCGCCTTATAATAATGTGGTGCAGACACCGGCAACGGTGGTGAATCATGTACATCAACGTGACGGTCCACCGCCACCAATTGTTCAACCACAACAACAATATCGCCCCACAATGACAACTGCTGTTATAGTATCTCATCAACATCAACCATCCAC